TACTAAATACGATTCGACAATATCGACGCCGCAGGAAGTGAGCATTCTTCATACCAAAAACTAGTATGCGCCATATTTTTTTTATGCGAACGCTTTACAAAAGAACAATTTCGGACACTGGCCAGTCTTGAGTTTAATTACGCATCGAATAGCACTATTCTATCAGTAACACTTTTCATAATTCCTGTCCAGTAGCAAAGCATTTCTACTTTATTCCCAATGCGTAACTCTTCTGAAGATGTTCAGGTAACTTAACGACTATTAACGAGCAAAGCGGAATCATCGAACAGGGTTTAAATACTGACAGTATGTTGCATTCAACTTCACACCAATTTCCTTGAAAAAAGCATGGATGACACTTTCCCCTCCAAACTATTGATTAAATAGTAAGGTCTATAAGGTACTCTTGGTGGCAGTCATTCTAGTAGTGAGAGCGATAGTGGAGTGGATTATAGTTGCTTTCTTTACGGTTCGGAATATTGAGTAAACCTTCTGGATTGCTTACCACGCAAGTATAGACATTTCAGTCTACCCTGGTATTTAGTCTATAGCTGAGTTGCGAGAAAATTCGTTTTTTTCTAAGTGTATTAGGGAGAAGTGAATGCAACAGGTGAGGCAGGGATTTGAACTTGCCTCGCCGATTTCGTTTAAGTTACCGTTAGCGTTGTGGTTAGATGGACGTACGGATGGACGTACGGATAACATCTAATCTCATAAAAGAAAAGAGCTTGCTAACTCTTGCGCTAGGGAGATGCGATATTGAATTATTTTCGATTGACACTACGATAGATGGCATAATAACTAATTTTTAAAATAGTTATTCAACGATTTTCGGAAAGGTTACGACAGCAAATGATCTTCAATTGACTCTGAAATCTGAAGTTTTTTTTTTTTTAATGGCACATCAACCCCTTAAGGGTCATTTAATGCCGAAATGTAATCTTCTTGGAGATTTTAAATGAATAAAAATAAGATATATGTTATTCTGCATTTACAATTGAATTCATGCTACTCAGCTTTTTCTGCATATACATGTTTGTATGGACATAATTACTATAGGCGGGAATTTGTACGTTTTATATTGTAGTTTGTTGAAGTTATATTTTGGAATATAATTGGATTTACACTATTTACATTATTCGGACTATTGTCCTTATCTTTGTTGCCATATTTATCACAACGTTTCAGCCTTTCAGTATCTGATTATATTTCTGAGATGAGGTATTATGTACACTATTTACATTATTCGGAGTATTGTCCTCATCTTTGTCGCCATATTTATTACAACGTTTCGGCTTTTCAGTATCCGTCTGTATTTCTGAGATGAGGTATTATGTACACTATTTACATTATTCGGACTATTGTCTTCATCTTTGTTGCCATATTTATCACAACGTTTCGGCCTTTCAGTATCCGTCTGTATTTCTGGGATGAGGTATTATGTACACTATTTACATTATTCGGGCTATTGTCCTCATGTTTGTCGCCATATTTATTACAACGTTTCGGCCGTTGTACGTTCCGGCCTTCTCTAGGTGGTTAGAATGTCGAACTGAACCCTTTATTTCGCTAACTGTGGTGGACTGTTCTAGTTCCACGTGACATGTTTCAATGGATGTCAGTTATCAGTTATCTCCTGTTAATTCCCCTCTGCAAGTTCTCCACTGTCTTAACCGGGTATAGAACTCACACTCTTTGGGTCCTGTCATCCATTAAACATGATAATAAAGTTAACTTACTCTGGCAAAAACTCACAACTAATTGGCGCTTAATAAGGATTTTTCCCTGTCAGCGAGCCCTAAAACATAGCGGTTGCATTTTCTCTTGTGTCCTCTGCATAGATACTTGCATATTCAAGTATAAACTGAAGCAATGCTTACAATTAGATTCAATTAAAATGACAACAAGTGTATCAGGGCTTACCGAATGATTCAAGTATATATCCAAATATGTTTAACTATAGTCACAAGTATAAGCCCTACCAATACTTTTTATAGACTCATGTATTAAGACAATAAATATTTACATCTAAGCTAGAGTATAAAGACAACTTTTGTTTACCTATAGACTCAAGTATAAACCAGCTTAATATGTATCTATAGTCTCACGTAGAAAACCTAGAAACTTAAGTATAAACCCGACCAATTTGGTAAAATAAGTCATGTTTGTGTTGAGGTTGGGGGAAACGCTTAACCGCTTGTTATCCTAAGAACTACGTGGTAGCTAGCAGGGAAGGGCAAAGGGACGGTAGGGTGGGGGAGGGGGGTCAAAATAACACTGTCTCAGAAAACCACAGCACGGTGAGCGGCGCAACAACTTTCGGAAAAAAAAATGCGCCAAGGGAAAGCCTTCACAAAACACCGAGCCTCGCCATCTCTAGGCTGCTGGTTACTCTGTTGCTTTTATTGACATGAGGCAGTTAACAAAAGACCCGGATCTGGAAAAGTTGCAGCGAGGTCCGTATCTGGACATGCCAAGCTAACGGGGAAAATCCGGATGTAACTAGTTTTGAAAGAAATGTATGCACGTGATTCTTGGCCTCTTTTGTGTCCGGACTTACATGCGTTCGCCACATTTACCTATAGATATATAGGGCCAGAATGGTCAGCGATTGGCTGGAGTGCCTCGTGAGCGTGGTATTCTGACAGTGAGGGCCTGCCATTTGTCTGCGTTTTGGATATAAATTCAAAACGGCGTAAATTCATCAGAAGGCCGCAATAATTATGAAGCTTCGACACGCTTACTACACCCAGTTTCGCGAAATGGGCAAAGACTCCACGCGAAAGGGACGCTAAGGCAACGGCTGACATGCATTCTTGTGACATGATTCCTGCCGATATCTCCTGGAATCCAAGCTGCCATCACTCTCTCGTAATAAGACAAAGAAATCGTCTTTTTTGTTGATAACATTTCACCTAGTATCGTGGGGATCCAGAGAGGACGTAGAAAGCAACACGCCTAACTCTCATCCGCTTGCATGCAACAGCAGTTACACCCAGGTAAAGGGCTTAGACTAAGGGGAAAAACAGGTCAGTGTATTTAATGAAACCAAACACTCGATAATTTCGTGTCTATTACTCGTATTAATATAGGGCAAAGCCTTTTTCGGCTATTTTTTTATGCACAAGTCTTTTTGGAAAATTTAATCCCAATCCACTGATAAATGGCAACACAGTATTCTTCGAATGTGACGGACACCCGTGAATGAATGAATATGGCTCATGTGTCCTATATACTTGAACTCGGCATAATTTCAGTACAAACTACATGTTATCTCTGGATGTTGGAGGAACAAAAATGGGCCTGAGAAGAAGACAATGCGAATATGTGGATAGTTATTTTACATCTCTCTCTCTCTCTCTCTCTCTCTCTCTCTCTCTCTATATATATATATATATATATATATATATATATATATCAGTTATGTACCATGCGTGATACACGCTTAGGCGATCATGTATCTTTCGATACATGACTGACGAGGCGGATTTTTTTCCAGCAGCAGGTTGCCATTTCTTACTGCAGTAGACGAGTTGTCATACAAGGCTATAGAACGCGGTAATTGATTCCAAATTAACAGGACAAGCAATCATGTAGATACTACGCTCTGATCCTAAAAAAGTCAGTTATGTGTCTTCCGATACATGACTGATGAGGCAGTTATTTTTTTTTACCGCAGTAGGTTGTCATTTCTTTCTGCTGTCCAAGGCTATAGAATCCTATATCTTCTTCCCCATCGCTGGAGTGGGGTGAGTAGAATAGGAGTCATATCTTTTCTAAGGGTATTAGCACGTAAGTGAATGTAAGGGATTCGACTAGAATTCGAAATCGGCTCTCCGATTCTTCAATCCGAGCCTCCACCGTGCCTCCACACTCTCTTAATAAAATGAAATAAGAAATAATTCATGGAGTAGCGTGAGGATCCAGCGACGACATAAAAACCCAAAAGATAACTTTTTTAGTTTTGTCACGAAGTTGCAAACATGGAGCATCCACTGAGAATCGAACTCATTATTTATGGTCAACTAGATCAGTCTAACTAACCATTATACTGCATCGAAGCGCCCACGGTGCTATCACTTGTAAAATAGATCTGACTCACTTCATTCTCTATCTGTCGTTGGATACATTGATAGGCAGACTGACAATTATCTACTGCGACTTCTTGCTTTAGGCAACGTCAATTAAAGAGGTCTCCAACGACATTCGCTCAGCATTCAATCACTTAATGTCTTTTAATCTGACTGTGGGTGGACAAACAAGCTGGTCAGCCATTTTTATTCTCCTCGGAGATGAGAAAGGTCATTCTAAACAAGATGGCGACGATGTGTTATGCCAATCTGCCGTAGATGGCTGGCTAGATCCGGCCGAAATGAGAAGACTGGCCGATCTAGAATTGATCAATTGGAAGCCGGGCACAAGACCTGCACTTCGACCTTTATAAGTCTGATCTTCTCTTAACCCGATATAAAAGTGATATTCGCATTTAAAAATGGCAACCAATCTTTAGTACAAATCCAAATCCAAAAGCCTCTTCTTTTAATCCGAAAGCTTTTATTAATATTTGGGTGGTGCTGAAATTTATCTGTCCGATCCGCTTCCAAAATGACTAATTGGTTGAAGTCAGAAGAAGTTCTTCTTTTTGAGAACAATTTCTAACCATTCCTTACATATATTTTAACAGGTGATAAAAAATGTGTTATATACAACAAAGTTCAATGTGAAAGAAAGTGGATTATCAAGGATAGATCTCCATAACCGATTCAAGAGCGGAGCTCCAGGGAGGATAGGGAATATTGTGCATGTGGTGGGGTCGTAAGTATAGTGTTCATTCAGAATTTTTAAAACGCAATGAGCTTACGGCCAGGTCGCGTTGAAACAACGATTCCCGTATAATCATCATATTTAAGCAACGTCGAGTCTGGTTAGTACCTGACCTCTTGAGAATACCAGGTGCTGTAAGCTTTGATGTGATGGTGGCAATGCTTACAGCGAGATCTCGTTGAAACACCGGTTTTCATATAATAACCCAAGTTAAGCAACGTCGAGTCTGGTTAGTACCTAGATGGGTGATCTCTTGAGAATACCAGGTGCTATAAGATTGGACATCTTGTTAAAGTAATGGATAATGGCCCGAAATTGTTAATCGGAAAGCCAAAATCCAATTTCAGTTGTGTTCATTATATCCACTTGCGCGCAAATACGCTAGGGACAGGTATGAATCCACTTCTCCCCCATCTATAGGTTAATTAGCAGGAATTCTACCTAACTCATTGCACTAATAGAGGTTGGTGTAACATCGACGCCAGCTTGATAGTAGACGCAGGGAATGGGGTATTTTGGTTCTTGGTCCATATGAATATGTATACGCATGGCCACCCCACATGAAAAAAACAATGTCTGACTTCTTGCCTAAATGGGGAAGTCAGGTAAATATTTCCCCCGAAACTTTTGAGATCTAGTCTGTGTTGACGAAGCTTATATTCTGATCTTTTTATCGAACCTAAGTCTTATGAAATTTCCCCAGATGATCGATATCTGATGATTTACCAAATCTGGTCTCATTTTATTTATTTTTTTACTAAATTTTCACCCAACACACGACTTAATGACCACGACCTAAGATAGGGCGACTTAATGAGCTTGTATAATCATAAGATGTGGTGGGAAGAAATGCAATTTATGAGGATATATGGGAAAGATAACGGTTAAGAGAAAGAGGTTATAATTGCAGTGAAAGCATTGTTCTCACGTGTGACGAAAGCATATAGCCTAAACACGAATACACGCATCTATTAAGATTAATTTCCGTCTAGCAACAGAATAAGGGTCACGTGGGAGTCTTATGACATTTTGAGAAGGAAGGTCAAAAGGTTGACTGACCCAATTACCCGTAGCGACAAATGTCTAGACAGAAGCTAGACAGGGGACTGATGTAAGCTGGAATTCGCGCCAAAACTTAAGACACGTGATAGTCAGAGATTCACTCGAGAATCAGTTGCTATCTTGACTTTGAAGAGGCAACACCTGAAGTCGAAGCGCTGATAGTTTATGAACGGAAAGATAAGACTCATTTGATAAGTAGACAAGAAGGGTTCCAAAACGAAAGAAAGAAAAGGAAAAACAACTGAAAACAACTGAAACGAAGCCTTAACATAAAGAATAAGACTGACGTACCAAAAGTGAGAGAAGCTGAAACAACAAATTCAAGCGAAGGCACAGAGAATCAGGCATTATGGAGAAAGAAACACAATCTTCTGGAAAAACAAGATTTTCAAAGAAGATGCCAAGAGACTATATTAAGTGGTTAGAAAAAAACAAAATAGAGATAAATGACCCACCAGGAAGTTGGGGAGTTCTGTGTAAGATGTGGGGAAACTGCAAAATACAAAATGAAAGAGCTACATGGACCGAGAAACAATAGGAACAACAATCATACATATATTGAGCCGAAAATGGACTTGGCCAAATAAAAAACAAAAAAACAAAAAAAGTCTGGTAGGATAAGGAGTTTCGTGGTAAATACCTAAGATGGACGAAAGAAGCAGATGTGTACCAACTGAAAACACATCAGTGGCTGAGGAGGATCGGATTGGAAACTGAAACAGAAGGCGTAAATATTGCAGCTCAGGACCAAAGCCTCACAACCAGATCCTATCACTGTCACATAATCAAGGATGGAACTAAACCGAAATGCAAGATCTGCGGAAAATATAATGAAACTGTCGACCGTTTTATGTCAGGATATCCGGAACTAACAAAAAGTATACCCGCAAATATAACAAGGTAGCGATATATGTGCACTGGAAGATATGCAAAATCGAAACCACTGAGAGATGACATGAGCACCAGCCAGACATCGTTACCCAAAATAACGATGCAACTATCCTCTGGTGCATGCCAATTCAAACTGATAGGGAAATAAAAGCCAACACACCTGATATTATCATAAAAGACAAGAAATTCTGGAAGTGTATGTTTATTAACATAGCAATACCATCTGAGAGAAACACTTCCATGAAATTATCCAGAAATTGTCCAAATACAGATAGCTAGGGATCGAGATTAACAGAATGTTGGAATGAAGACTGAGACTGTACCAATAGTAATGGGAGATTTGGTCCTCGTGAGAAAAGGAATCGATAATTTTACTAACAGTGTCATAAGTAACATCAACATACAAGTTGCCCAGCAGATCTACTAAGAACGCGTCCCATATACTAAGAAATATGTAGGGAACCTGGAGGCGGGGGTTAGGGTTAGTAAGCTTGTCTCGCTAGAGCAATTACGACTGAGTAGTGAGTTCGATCCTGGGTGTCCCATACATCTAAGCTACGCTTGGAAAATCACTATACTAAGAAAAGTGCTATAATTATAATGATAAGGGTATAATCGTATTCATATACAATAATAATAATAATAGTAATAATAATAATAATGATGGATTAAAAGAAACTCTTTACGGTGTCGAGGTCTATGAAAATCTCACGGTTTGCGCAA